TGTGTGTGTGTGTGTGTGTGTGTGTGTGTGTGTGTGTGTGTGTATCGATATATGTATCTATATCTATATCTATGTATCTATCTGTATATCTATACATAAAAACCTGAGGGAACTTCTGATTAATGCAGTGGACAGGTGTCCCAGGCAGGAATCACTGGAAGCCTTGTCACTAGGCTAAAGCAGTAAAAATAAAAATGATGGCACATGAACCTCAGTGTTAGAAAATCTGTAATATGCTTCGCTGGTGATAGAACTCAATTTAGTCTTTCCCGATTTAAGCCAACTTCCTGTGTAAACACAGGATTGGCCATCTCTCTGGAATACTAGCGCTCATCCAAGTACGTCCAAATCATGCTTCAGAAACAGGTCCGCTCCTCTCTTTCCAAGGGTAACACGAATAGATATACAAGGTGGGCAAAATAGCTCAGTGGTGAAGGGTGGGCACAAGGGCTTTAGGCCCCCGCCCCGGCTCACCTCCGTTACGGCGGTAGAAGACCCCGCTTGTTGGAAGACCCCGGAGCCATAAGCGAAGGCTAAGCTGAGCTCTTGAGGGAAGTGAGCCAGGATCCTGCGGAACTTCAGGGTCGAGCTCGGAAAAGCCATGCGAGCAAGCAAGAAGGCGCTCCCGGAATTCGTGCTCGGCGCCTTCTTCCAAACCGGCACGGGGGTCAGCCCGGGCGGAAGCTTCGCCTCGCCAGTAGCTCCGGAGAAAAGGTTGTTGGTGATGGGGGAAGAACAACCGACAAGTAGATGACGGAGGCTGTCTAAAACCACAGCGCCCCCTGACTCAGGCGGTATCGCTCTTTCGCTTTAAGAAAATAGGCGCGCTCTGTTTAAATACATCGGGATGCATCTTTAGTGGATGTAAAACACGTATCCAGCAGCCTCTGTGCAATCGATGAAATATATTCAGAAACACGCGGCTGCGTTAGTTTCAGGGATGCTTTCGCATAACTAATATAATTTCTACTACTTTCTACTACTAAAAATAAAATCCTATGGTATCTCTGGACAACTGCATAACTGGATAGAAGCATTCCTGTCAAACAGACAACAAATGGTCAAAATTGGGAGTGTCCTATCAAATTCTGTACCTGTCAATAGTGGTGTCCCCCAAGGCAGTGTTCTAGGATCAACTCTCTTCATACTCTACATAAATGACCTCTGTGATCATATTAAGAGCAGCTGCGTTCTTTTCGCTGATGATGTAAAGCTGTTCAATACCACAGACAATACTGCTACCCTTCAAGAAGATCTTGACTGTGTATCAGAATGGTCAAACAAATGGCAACTTCAAATCTCAACAAATAAATGCTCTGTCTTACATATTGGCAAAAAAAATCCAAAAATAAAATACAAGCTGAATAGTCAAGATCTTGTTGATGATCCAAGCTCTGTAAAGGACCTTGGAATACTCACCTCTAATGATCTAAGTGCTAGTGCCCACTGCAACTACATAGCCAAAAAGGCATTAAGAGTTCTTAACCTAATCTTACGTAGCTTTTTCTCTGGTAATATCACACTACTAACTAGAGCATACAAAACATTTGCTAGACCAATACTCGAATACAGCTCATCAGTCTGGAACCCACATTACGTATCTGATATTAGCACAATTGAGAAAGTCCAGAAATATTTTACAAGAAGAGTTCTCCACTCCTCTACTCGTTGTAGAATACCTTATGCCACCAGACTTGAAATTCTAGAACTAGAAAACCTTGAATTACGCCGTCTTCGGTCTGATTTAAGCATGGTATATAAAATCATACATTGCAATGTCCTACCTGTCAATGAATACTTCAGCTTCAACCATAACAACACAAAAACACACAACAGATACAAACTCAAGGTTAACCGCACCAAGCTTGACTGCAGGAAATATGACTTTAGCAACAGAGTGGTCAATGTCTGGAATACTCTACCCGACTCTGTAGTTTCTTCCCCAAACCCCAAAAACTTTAACCTTAGACTGTCTACTATTGACCTCACCCCTTTCCTAAGAGGTCTGTAGGGGGCGTGCATAAGCGCACCAACGTGCCTACCGTCCCTGTCCTATTGTTTCTTTTATTTTTCTTTTATTTTTCTTATATGTACTCATTTCATGTATTCATAATTATGTATACACTTTTACTTATCTCGTAAACAATTGACAAATAAATAAAATAAAAATAAATAAATAAATAACGCCTCCTGTTATTCAAACTTTTCTCTTTTTTAACAGATTTGGAAGGGACCTTGTAGGTCATCTAGTCTAATCCCCTGCCCAAGCAGGAGACTCTACACCATTTCTGACAAATGGCAGTCCAATCTCTTCTTGAAAGCCTCCAATGATGAAGCTCCCACGACTTCCGAATGCAAACTGTTCCACTGGCTGTTTGCTTTTACTGTTTATTTTCAGATTGAATCTCTCTTTGTTCAGTTTCCATCCATTATTCCTTGTCTGGCTTTCTTGTGCCTTGGAAAATAGCTTGACCCCCTCCTCTCTGTGGCAGCCCCTCAAATACCGGAAGACTGCTATCATGTCTCTCCTGGTCCTTCTCTTCACTTGACTAGCCATGCCCAGTTCCTGTAACTGTTCATCATATGTTTTAGCCGCCAGTCCTGTAATCATCCTGGTTGTTCTTCTCTGCACTCTTTCTAGATCTCAACATCTTTTTTATAGTGTGGTGACCAAAACTGGATGCAGTATTCTAGGTGTGATCTTATTAAGGCTTTATAGAGTGGTATTTTTGAGGTGTTCTTTAAATCCAACCAAGCACTGCTTCCTTGATCTGCTTTGTAACCGAACTTCATTCCTTTTCTCTGTATGACCAAATTGCTTTCACAGACTTCTTTATACCAGTTCTTCATGTCTGTATTCTATCCACATTAATTCTAGATCTGCATTTTTACTCTTTATTAATTGCTTGTTTTGCCACACACATACACACACCCATCCCAATGCATTCATTTTCCTTTTTCTTTTCTCCTGATAATACCCATCTCTCAGTTCCATGGAAGAAAGAACCACATTCACATACACAGGCCTTCTGGCTTCTTTTGACAGATACTCATTCCTTTCCACAGACAATTTACTGCCTTTCCATCAGCATTTGCATGTCTTAAAATGTCCCCATTTCACCAATATTAGTTCACTACTAAAGTGTACAAGTTAATCTCCATTTACTCTACGCTTTTGCTGATGATATATTATTCTGTTTGTTCATTCCATTTTCCCTGTCAAATCATGTTCGCTGCTTAGATGAATTTTCAGGTTCATAATTCTCACTGCATCATACAATCTACCATTTTCTCCAAATCATTTGGGGTCTCAAAACAATAAAATGCCATCCTTTGTTTACAAAAGTAAACAAAAAGTAAAAGTAAACAAAATTGGTTTCCCCAACCAATGTGCCTTTGATGTGGTAATAAGCACTAGCAATACTGGGATCTATATTAACCTAATGATTATGTAGCCTTTATTCCATTCAACTTCACAATGGCATTTTTAATTTAGGCTCTGTGGAGCATTTACAAAATTAAAGTATGGTTGATTAGTTTGTGGCTTAGAGCTGTTGTCCCCAGTTCTGGTCTGAGCCTGGTGCTGAGGCTAATGAAGGATTTATTTTATTTTATTTATTTTTTTGTTTATTTGGTTTATCAATTGCTTACAAGATAATAGATATAAGTAAAAACATAGTTATGAATACATGGATACATATAAGAAAAATAAAAAAAATAAAAGAAACAATAGGACAGGGACAGTAGGCACGTTGGTGCCAGACATGAGGTGCAGGTTTTGTTTCCTTTTATTGAAGTGTTCCAGGAAAAGGGGTCCTGGATAAAATGCCAAGAGTTCAGAACCAAGGATTAAGAAAGCTTTGTACAATTTCACTAAAGGCAGGGCAAGGCGGAATAATAAGAAATATCATCTAATAAGCATGTTGGTAATGATCTAATGATTTGTTCTATTGGTCTCTAACTGTCTCTCTTTCTAAGCCTTGGTTAATGAATCTAACACACATTCTATTTGCTCGAGGCCATCTCTGTTCCTAACTTTTAGCTCAGTTACGCAGGACGTCTAACTCTTTGTTGCTGTTATCAGTTCACTAACCACCTAGAATTGCTACAAGTGTTACACGTGCACATTCCCTGTGAATAAGCCTTCTTTGTTCTTGCCAGACAGACTCCACAATTACAGGCTTCCCAGTCTCCTTTCAAGTGTATGCCATAACTTTACTTTGTTTTAGCAGATTGCCCATCAGAGCTGTGTTTGCATATTTTGCTCCTGATATGGTGCTCTTTGGAGAACCCTGTTTTGTACACAAAGGCTAGTCCTGAGTTTGAGAAACTTTACCCTAGGGTGGTGTTTATCAACCTTAGCAATTTTAAGATGATTTCTGGGTGTTGGAAGTCCATACATCTTGTTGCTGAAGGTGAGAAACACTGCCCTAAAGGAAATATCCGCCCATTGGGTCTCCATGAGGCTTTTTTCTTAATCCCTATTGAAAACCTCCTTTCAATCAAACCTACTTCTAACTCTCCACTCTCCACCTAGCAGGGATGCTAAGCAGTGTCTCTCACTTCTCCACAGGCTCAATAATACCCAAGAGGCTATTTATGAAAGATAACTAATGTTTACTTTCCTGCATGCAGAAACACAGCCTGAATCAGCTCTATCTAGCCATGTTCTTGCATTCAACAACAACAACAAAAATCATACAGATCTATGACCAGATTTACACAGTTAAAAGAATACCTGCTGGCTGGAGAATTCTGAAAACTGAAGTCCACACATCTTCAGGTTACCGCAGCTGAGAAACACTGTTCTAGACTAAGAATTCAAGGACCCAGGCTAGTCACTCTCGAGAGATAACAGATGACAGATAATCAGAGTTGGAAGAACCCTTGTAGGTCATCTAGTCCAACCCCCCCCCCCCAAGCAGGAGACCCTACACCATTTCTGACAAATGGCAGTCCAATCTCTTCTTGAAAGTCTCAAGTGATGGCACTCCCACAACTTCCATTGGTTGATTGTTCTCACTGACAGAAAATTTCTCCTTATTTCCAGGTTCAATATCTCCTTATTCAATTTCCATCCATCATTCCTTGTCTGGCCTATAGGCGCTTTAGAAAATAGCTTGTCCCCTTCCTCCTTGTGGCAGCCCATCAAGACCACTATCATGTCTCCCCTGGTCCTTCTAGCAATAACTTGTTATCTCAAGGGATGTGAATAGCAAGGAGTTTGGTCATTGAATATTCTGGATTTGTCCATAACAAATATGAGGAAAGATTCGATTTATGTACTCCTCTGCAGGCATACCCAGTAATTTGTAAAGTCTAACATGGCTTTTCATCCAGCGTAATTTCAACTGTTGGAAACTATATCTTTGCTGATTCAGTTATAGCACCCCCTCCAATTAATTCACCAGGCTTTCTCTAAATATAGCAATTCTTTCATTCTACTCTCTGTGACCATCTGCTTTATTTTCATCACCCTGTAATTGCAGGTATCTCCAGCTTTAGCTGTTGTCACATTATATACTCACTGTTATAATTATACATTTCATTTAGTTTTTCTCAGAATTTTTTTTTTTTGGAACATTTGTCTCAGAAAAAACAGTGAAGCAATTAAGACTCATTGGTTTTCCAACCTAGATTATTCAGTAATTGTTTTTGGCA